CCCAAAACCCCAAAACCCCAAAACCCCAAAACCCCAAAACCCCACGCATGCTCACTAGGGTTGAGATTAGAGATTAAAATTGTATTATTAACCCAAATACAGAACATTACTAGTATTTTCAAGGTTTTCTGGTTGGTGAATCATCGATCCGTTTATATTTGTTGACGCTATGAATAAGTGAACTATCCCTTACAAATAGGATGAACATCAAACTCGTCATCACTACTAGAGTCGAGAATATCTTCTAAGTTTTCTTCATCGTCTAAAGTTGTTAGTGAGAACCTACTATTTGAATTTTGAGAGAGCCCCTCTGCGTCAACATTAGCTTCCACAGAGTTTGGATTGTCATCCATTGAAAGGTTCTTGCTCTGCTCTTCTTCTTCAATGTCTATATTTTGGTTTCAACTTTTTACCACCGCCTTCTGATTTTCTAGAAGATTAGGAAAATTTTTACCTTCTTGAGGGGTTAAACTTGCTGCCATGTGTTTGCATTAAGATGTCAGACTTTAAGTCGTTGTATATATCAGACTCAGTCTGACTATTCTTCCTCTTCAGTGTTGACCCCTGAACCGCTAAGGATTTTTTATCATTTGATTCTCTCAAACGGTTAAAATTACTCTTTTGAATGTCAATTCTTGCATCTTGTGAGGTTCTCTTCTTTGACCCGAACGGCTTGGAAGTTTGAGACTTCCTGATAATATCATCCATATTTGCATAATCCCGGAACTGTACTACTGAGGGTGCTTTTTCCTCAATTCTAGCTCCGGCGTAGGAGGGGCTAACCCCACCAGGGACTAAATTAGATATAAATAACTTTAAATAAAGATTTCCTTACGGTTATTTCTAAACGAGAACTTCTGCTGTAGGTTATTGTTCTTAAATTTTCCATCAACTGTAAAGTCGAACTCGCTAGTGATATCGCTTTTACCGAAATTGCTTTTATAAGTGTTCCTAAACTCATCAGGGTAGAGTTCAATGCTATTATCCATTTCATCTGTCTGATCCATAAGAATCTGTACTGACTTTTCCCTATCAAATTCTATATTTATAACACCTGCTGGCTTACCGTTGATGGGTAAGAACATGCTACTCTTACTTGTCTGCTTGATTGGAGGGAGCCTTCCATGTTTTTGCACACCATCATTTGTTACTATCATTGTTGCTTTATTTTAATATTTTCTCATTTTTCTCTTGAAGCAAATTTGGATTGTCCTTAATTTGGCTTATCTCAATCTCGTACTGGAGCCTTTCAATATCATCATATTCTTTATTTTGACTTTATAAGTGCTTCTTTTATGGAGTTTAGATACTGTCTCTCTCTTATATTGCCATCCTCGACTTGTCTCATACTGTCCTCAATGATCTTATCATTATGATTCTTATTCGCTTCAAAATCATGGACACTGCCTTCCTGCTGGTCAACGATCCTAATAGGGTTTTCAGAGTTCCTAAAATTCTGGCTGGAAATCAAGCTCTTGGCTTTCTCCTTCTCTTGTCTAATGGCTTCTTCATCTCTATGTTGTACTGTCTTCATGACCTGGGACCTGACAGTGTCCCTCTTGGTTGCGACTACGGTTCTGCTCTTTACTTTCTATAACGAGATTAGGCCTGTTTTTGGGGCTATAAGGAGGGATAAAGACACTTGCCTTCTTTCCTTTGGAATTTGAGCCACCCATTGTTATATTCAATATTTATATGAAAGTGAGGGGTTTTGGGGTTTTGGGGTTTTGGGGTTTTGGGG